TTGTAGGATTGCTATAGGGTCGTTGTAGGTGGTTGTAGCGTCGTTGTAGGTGGTTGTAGCGTCGTTATAGGTGGTTGTAGATCGTTGTAGCGTCGTTGTAGGTGGTTGTAGGTGGTTGTAGATCGTTGTAGCATCGTTGTAGGTGGTTGTAGGTGGTTGTAGGTGGTTGTAGGTGGTTGTAGGTGGTTGTAGGTCGTTCCTTACTTACTTTAGTACCTACGGCTAAAGAAATGTACATCACTCAATGCTTTAATGAATGCTTTACTGAAATACTCCTAAAACAGTATTATACTACACTAGGAGGAGTTATATGTACTGAAAAACTAGATAATATTTATATTTATATTTATTTACAAGAAATTAGTCTTCATAATCACTGTATGACACATATATTAGGCGGTGATTATAGAATGATGTTGTTATATGTTATAAACAACAACAATGGCAAAAGCGACAAACGACAATAACCACAACGACAACGACAACAACTCTAAGACTACAAAACGAACATATAGTACAATACAAACGATTCAAAACGATACTAATTAGCTACATTAAGTGACTTAATTGAAGGCATGGCAAGTGTTTTGAAACTTGGGGTTGATTGGCAAAGATTGTTAAATGGGATGTGATTCCAGGTAACGATTGTTCTTGGATAAAATGAAAACTTATATACATTGACACACGACTGAATTTGGCGGTAAGGACAGATATTAGGCAGCCTGGATGCTCTAGTCAAAGGACACACGTCATCAGGAAGACTGATTCCAACAAGGCCTTGATGGATCTTGTAGAACATAGTGGCTTGGTGTAGCAGTCGCCGTTGTTGGAGAGTAGAGAGTTTGGCAAATACAAGGGCAACGGCAACGGCAATATGGTCATCAACAATAGCATTAATCCTCAAAGACAAAGGCAAATGTAAATTACATGGTCCTAAGCGTTGTGCAATGCCGTAGTTGTTGAAACTAGTACGTGATTTGCACATTTTCACGGTGCATGACTACGGCAACGGTTAATTCGTTCGATGTTATTTGAGGTGTTTTATTTGAATTCGCGGACTATTTTTACTTAAGGGTACGTTTGAAAGAAACAGGAATACTTAAAGAGGCAAACTAAGTGTAGTAACGTATACTTTGGCTCAAATACAACAATATAAGCAATTATATTTTTCCCGTTGCCGTTATCGTTGCCGTTCTAGGTTGCCAAACTCTCTATTGTCCCAACCCAGGTGGTCGATCATTGGAGAGACGTGGCTAGCTCTGGAATAGTCAAAACAAGAAAAGACATCAAAATCAAGACATTGAAAAGTCAGCTTAAAGACCACTTACCGTCTATTTAGACTAGACTACTCTCTATTTAGCGGACTATACTAAAAACTTATAGATATCGATCAGTCGTTTTTATATTTAACTTAATTCGTAGAAATTGTAAATATTTAAAAATTGTAGTTTTTATGAAATAATTTTGTAAATGGGTTCTGAAAAACCCTTTTGGGAGAAGCCATTAATTTTAATAATAATAATAATAATAATCCGTGCAATCTGTTTCGTAATTTTTGAAGCTTGCATCCCAAGCTTTCCCTAAACTCGTTCTGCCTCATGTAGTACTGTCTGCATGGGATAGTTGTGGAAGTTTACAGGATAAGCTACAAAAATTACAAAATCGAACAGCTCGAATAATTACTAGGAGCAACTATGAAATACGCTTTTCGCAGATTTTAAAATACCTAAATTGGCCGGTATTGGAAGATAGGCGAACAGTGAAAAAAAATCTTTCTTGATTTATAAAATAGGCCAATCTTATATCCTTTGAAGCTGTTTAATCGAGCTATAATTACTTCATGGTCGCATTAATACATGAGGTATGACCACAATATTGTTATTCCTAAACCAAACAGCATTTCTTTTGAAAAACAGCCTAGAGTATAATGATATACGGAACATTGGTATGGAATTCAATACCAATAGAAGTAGTCCGTGTGTTGAGTGTGACCTCGAAAAGTGCCTAGAAAACGATTTTCAATAAGCATGTCTTAGATCTGAAATACTTTTACGGGAACTAAAGCCTGCAGCACACGAGAGCTATCTGCTGAGCCAAAAGTTACTCGTGTCTGTTAGCTCAGCCGATAGCTCACCGATCAAACATGTTTGATACGTGAGAAAAGGTTGCATGAGGCAAAAAACTCAGTAAAATGTACCCGCACACGGTGAGCTATCGCCTGAGCTAACAGGCACGAGTAACTTTTGGCTCAGCAGATAGCTCTCGTGTGCTGCAGGCTTAACATATTCGAATGCGCTGAGTTCCCATTCCGTAGACCCGCAGTTTTTTTTTCACAAAATGCTATTTATTTATCTTCACTAATTTCACAGCAAATTTTTTCATTGTTCAACGACACGCAGGGGCGTAGGAAGCATCAAAATATTGGGGGGGGGCACCGGCTTCTTGGGGCACTTTAGGGTTATTGAAAAGGGCACCAAAAAAACTTTTCCCGGAAATGTTGGCGACGGGGGGGGGAGAAAAAGAAAAATTTTCCCGTCGTACCATACCGAAATTGCACGTTTTGACCAAATTTTTTTAAAAAACTTGGAAATTTCCAAACCGAAAAGGGGCACCTTTGATGTTAATTTAGTATTTACAGCCCTTGTACAAAATTAAAAGGGCAATTTTCATCACAAAAAGTGCACTTTTAGTCCTTTGAAAAAATTTGGAGGAGCACGTGCCCACGTGCCCCCCCGGTTCCTACGCCCCTGATGACACGGATTGATGACGATACACGATTATGTACTCAAAAGGACCAATTTCTATTAACTATTCTTCCTTTTAACAAAAGACCGGTTTTGCTCGAATCATTTTCATTATGCAATCTTATGCGTGTTGCACGTAAACAACATATCTTGTCTACAACTTTGCCGAGAAGGTACAGATAATTCCTTCTAATATCCTTAGTTCTGGATCTATATATCTCTATAAAATCACAAGGACGTTAATGTCAAGTCTTTGGGCTATGTTTCTGGGCTGAGAAATAATTCCCTACATGCGATCAAAATGTTTTAGACTCGGTTTACACTATACCGGATTGCTATCGGAGTGGGTCAAATTTTGTAGGTATCGAAAGGCTGTGAAGATTTTTAATCTCGGAGACCCAAATAAACATGCCAATTCTGTCAAACTAATAAGCAGTTGCTACTAACCATTGCTCCGTAACGGCAAAAGAAGATGTCGTGACCAGCGAATCCGGTATAGTGTAAATAGGGCCTTATACAACGATGTAAAACCGACGGTAATCTATATATAATGGATCAGCATTCAAATTTCCAACACGGTTTCCGAGACGTAATTCAAAAGATAACTTATCACTGCATTTGAACTATTACATCAGTTGGTGTTATACTGTGTGATAAGCGAATATTATTGGAAAGGGGCTTCTATATACGTTGAAATCTTCAAATGAACAGCTCATGCACACATTTATCCACTTCGTGGTAAGTTTACAGAGCATATTTTATACTTTGCGACTGATCTTTGTCTTTGATATGAACATTCATTCTTATAGTTTAAGGTTATATTTAAGATTGATCCTGTCGTAAGTCTTCTACCTGCAACCATTCGACAATCTTTCATTTTAGCGTTGTTTTGCCGTTACGTTGGCTTCGCGACGACAACGACAACAACAACAACAACAACAACAACAACAACAACAACAACAACAACAACAACAACAACAACAACAACAACAACAACAACAACAACAACAACAACAACAACAACAACAACAACAACAACAACAACAACAACAACGACGACGACGACGATGACGACGACTAAAAAAGGGGCCAACTGAATTTCACAATCTGTAGTTTACCCGGCAATTCCTGCTTTTGGAGTGGCCCGTTGCAAATTTTCTGGCCCTCTATAACTTAGACTCGGAGCAATTTGCGCAATGTACTAGCAAAAAGTTCATGGTCATTTGTGTCGTGGGGCCGTGCCCCCATAGAGGCAGTCAAACACCCTTCGGTTACGCCACTGGTGACGGCGTAATGGAATACACCCTTGTTGATCAAATCCAATTTTTTTTTTCGCGCATGTGTTGAAGAAAGATGTTTTGCTTCTCTGTACATAGTCCGTGAGAAAAAAACTTGAAATCCTTTCCATTTAAGATGGTCCTAACTCTAAGTTGAAAACAGTGTAGTTAGACGTAATTATCGAAAGGGTGTACTGTGTAAAATTCCTAATGTTAGCTGAATACAAAATGCGCGCATATATCGACAATTAATAATTTATAACTTGATCAAGTAGACCAGAAATCAATTCAGAACAGTTAGACATAAATAATCCTTGTTGAACAGACTATGAACTCAGCAAGACGAGATGTTTCAAGCATCTAATTAACGTTCCCTTTAATTAATTGCCTCATATTGTTTCTTTCGTTCCCTGTCGCCTGGCCAATAAGTGGCCATCCTGCTGCGCTCTTGACTTTAGTTCAAACGCAAAGTGTTTGCATTGCTTGTCTATTCAATGCAAGGTTTAGGCATGAAGATGGAGATTGAAATCTTCAACACATATTATGAGTTGCTCAAAATTCTGATATTTACCCACACACCTTACATTGCCATCACCTTAGTATATATACAGTAACGGAAATATGTCGTGGGGGGGACGATCCTCCCCATAAGGAATCTTCAATTTGTCTCTCGATTTTTCTCGCAATGTCCACTCTATTCTCTTTTAGTGACCAGGGACCACTACAAATCCAGCATTCTGATTGGCTGTACTCAACCACGGACCATTATGTAACGGACCAGGGGTTGAGACTAAAAAGATGGCGGGAAACTTTTGTTTTGCAAAGGTTTAATACTTGCCACAAAACTTTGACACATCATTGGATCTTTCGAACTTTTTTGAATTGAAACGTACTCTAGTTTATATTCATTTACATAGCGAACCAGAAAAGTGTTAGATATTCATTTAGTATGTCTTATTTTATATATTTATATTTATGAATGAATGAATGAATGAACATAATTTTTAATGAGGATACCAACTTCACAAGTAGTGGTTTACAGAGGGGTCCTCGGACAAGTAAACATATACTAAAAATAATTAAATTACAAATGAAAATAACTAGACAGAACAAACAAGTCATTACAATTCAGTTTTTTCGAGGCGGTTCTTAAATGAGGTTATCGAGGTGGAGCCTTTTAAATCATCATCCAAACTATTCCAGAATTCAGAAAGAAAATTTACCGTTGTCCAGTGACCCCACCTCCTCGAAGCCTTGGTTTTCCTGATCTTTTAGATCTGGTGTTCTATCTATGGAAATCACAATTAAGTTGCAGTGAAAACTAAATTGGTACGATAACATATTAGATATTATTGATGGCCTTTATGCAAATATATATGACTCGATGCTCGGCTCTTCTACGTTTTAATGATTTCCATATACTAACTTCTTTTACCGATTTTTCATATATATCGCCAACATTTCCGGGGGGGGATTTGTGTTGGATAATTTATGGAAATTAGTCCTCACAAAATAAAAAACTGTATGGTATGGATTTAAGGGACCGGTCATTATTTATGGCGGGGGGTGGCACCGAAGAGAAAAGGGTTGGGTAAACAAAATTTTGAGTGAGTGAAAGGTTGGGTAAATGAAAAACAAAACAACTCAAGGGTTGGGTAATAAAAATTTATTGTCATTTCCAAAGCATAACTCACTGAAATATTGGAGACTAAAAAGCAATGTCAACAGTCATATGTCAATACAATATGTGAATCAATCAGAGTCACTATCTTGATCATTTTCCGATTTGTTGGGAGACAAATGGTGTCTCCAAAGAAAGTACATGTGCAGACAACGTGAAACTTTAGACTGCAGAAAATTTCACAATCCGTTATCAAACTCATGTCACAGAGGTGGTAAGGGACTTAATTGTGTGACAACTGAATGGTATCTTTTTGTAATGTTTTTTGACCAGGGGTGGGTATTTCTTTTTTAATTGATATTTGAGGTTGGGTAATCAAATATTTTACTTTTTAATGGTTGGGTCAGCAAAATTTTTGCCACGAAAAACATTTCTCTTCGGTGCCACCCCCCGCCATAAATAATGACCGCTCCCTAATAGAGTCATGAAATTTAACACTCAGGGGCCAGTTGTCAACCTAAAATTCAAAGCAATCTCTAAAGTTTTGAACTGAGAAACAGACGTGCAGATCCACAAACTAAAACAGCAGGTTAAATTTTAACCCGGGATTAATAGCGCTAACCCACCTTTGAATATTCTGACTAAAGGCTAATTTCCACTCCGGAAAATAAGCTGCGGATCGGACCGGAACAAAATTCCAGAGACCGGATCGAAGGTACGTTTTTCCGATCCGGTCCGATCCCAATCTCGTACCCAGAGTATGCCCGTTCGCAGGTTATGTGCTGGGCATGATGACCTAACCTGCGAAAGAACATACTCTGGGTACGAGATTGGTCCGATCCAACAAGCGATTTGCAGTAAAAGGACAAGTGGAATGATCGGATTGGAAAAGGAAAAAAATGGAGCTCGTTCCAGTCTCACATTCTCCATTTTGTAAATTTTGTACAGGTATTTAATTTATGCGAGATAATACGGCATTTTGATTGGTCGCCAGGTTTAATCCACGGGACCGGAGTTCAACTTTTTATTATCCGGCCAAATCCGGCCAGCAATGTCGCCAGATCGATCGGAACCAACTGATTTCTACTGATGGCGCATGCGCGAATTTTGTTTTTTGTTCCTATCCGTCGCCAACTGTACCCTGTGTTCCAGACAATGTCTCAAGACCTTTAAAAGCCTGAAAACCTCTGGCACCCAGGGTATCTCAGGGCCGTAGGAAGCTCTTTTCGATTGGGGGGGGGGGCCGAAGGCCCGAGGAAATTTTTAAATTTAGAGTCTCTAAAATGCCATTTCCTGGACTTTGGGGGAAGATTTAACAGAATTCTGATAGAGGGCGCTGAAGGGGTAAAATGGGAACTGGGATTGATCTATTTTTAGACTGGGAAAATGGGATTTGGGTTGCTGGGACTGGGATTTGGCCACTGGGAATGGGAAATAAAGTCCTCAAAAATGGGAATGGGATTGAGGTAATGCGAGTCGATTCCCAATTTTTCTGCATTTTGAGTATTTTAAAATACAATTTTGATCCGTTTTTGGTGTCTTTGGTCATGATTTTTGTTGTTAACTATATTATTCACAGCACTACCTGCGAACAGGCATACTCTGGCGCCCGGAATTCTGGGTTTTCTGATTATGCGTGTCTCAGAATGCTGCAAATGCCATTTCCGGGATTCAAATTTAAAAATTTTCCGTGCCTTCGGCACGAGCCCCCTAATATTTCATAAAGTGTCCGCCACTTGCTTAAAAGGTCTTAAAACTGTTTATTCTACCGATAAATAAAGTGTTTTTTATTGACTGGGATTTCAATAACTGGGACTGGGATTTCTAATAAAAATCCAACTGGGACTGGGATTTTGCCAAAATTTCAGGTGGGAAATGGGATTGGGACCCCCCCCCCCTTCAGGACCCTCCTGATAGTCAGAAAACAGCGTTTTAGTATGTCGAAATTTACAGGAAAGTATGGGCCAGACTGTAGTATTATAAATGCGCGGCTGGAATTTTCGTCGTAAATGGCAGTTGCGCGGAAATGAAGGCAGAACATTTGAGAAAATTTCGAAAATCTGGAGTCTCTAGATGGTCTGAAATGGCATTTTCAGAGTTTTCTTTCGCAAGACCCAACACGCAAAAGACAAAATAAATCATTAGTTCATCAAAAATGTGCAGATTTTGTGGGATTTTCTTGAAAATGCGCGACAGAAATTCAGCTAAAATTTCTACGCGAGGAACGATCTGGAGTATAAGTAATATCTTCATTCTTTGCAGTTTGTCACAGATTAAATGATAAAGTTTGCATGATTTTGAAAAAAGAATGATTATTAGCAAATTATTGGGGGGGGCTGCAGCCCCCCAGCCCCCCCGGTTGCTACGGCCCTGTATCTGACTCGCTCTGCTTATTTTCCGGAGTGGAAATTAGCCTTAATAATTTTGAAGGAAATTTTGGTCAAAATAAGGAAAAAAAAAGGAAATTTTAACTTCCGGAAATGGAAGCACTGGTTATGCACAAGAATGTCTAGCCCGCGTGCAGGCCCAAGGGAAGGCCTGCACGCGGGCTAAAGAATGCCAAGAAAATATCATGGCAACTGAGAGTGAAAAGTATTTTGGAGGAATCGAAGGGTTTGTATGCATATATAATTGTTAATACAATGTTAAATATGCATGTATTTGGTACAACGTATATGACATATACGTACTGGACAGATATTTGTGATAATATATTATATACCCTCGAATAATATACCTTAATAGAAATGAGTCAATTCCATGAGTAAACCTCCCCCCCCCCCGGACACTGCCTGGCATTTGCTGGACACACCATTCCCAGATTAATAGTGCACCAGGGCCAGACATTATTTAGCGGCTAGAAGACTCCCGGACATTTGACGCTAGCGTAAAAACCTCTCAATTATCAAAAATATTCTGGTATTAAACTTAAATAGTTCAGTAGCAGACTATTTTACGCATTGTCACTGAACTTGAAACTGAATACCAGAACACTGAATACCAGAATACAGTGTTAAAGATGCTGTTAAAATTTTAAAGAATTCTGTTTTGTGCATATGTTCTGCACAGGCCTACATTCCAATGGTCGGGACCCAATCATGCATTGGAATGTTATTAATATTTCGCACCTTCTGAACGTTCTTGAATTGAATCTTGAGTAGTCTGTATTCATTTACAAGTATAACCATATTTAATTTTTGTAACTGTAGCACTGAGTTCAAAATGTAAACAAAGCGTTAGTTTACATTAACGGACTGTACAGCATCTTTAAAGGACCCTACAGTTATTTTTTAGTCAAAAAGCCACCTTAAGTAGGGGACTCCTTCCCCTGGGCCAACCCGTAGACATCCGTCATTCTTGGAAAGAAAATGGCTATGTCCCCAGGCCCAAGGTACACTTTCCCTCGTGCTATAGCCCCACCCCTAAAACTTAAATCCGGCTGACCGTGTAGCTCAGTTGGTAGAGCATTGACCTAGTAATTCGAAGGTCGCAGGTTCAAGACCAAGCCGCGGCAGGGAAGATCTTTCTGCTTGTGCGCGGTGTAGAAATTATGCAATACACACTTAAGAACAATAGCGTCGCTAAATAAAGTGTGTACATGTATATATATATATATATATATATATATATATATATATATATATATATATATATATATATATATATATATATATATATATATATATATATTATATTATATATATATATATATATTATATATATATATATATATATATATATATATATATATATGTATGTATGTATAAATTGAAAATGTTCTTGAGTGAGTGTTTCATAATTTCCAGTATTTCATAATTTCCATTTAAGACTGGAAATTATGAACTATATACTGAATGTTATAAACATACTCATTTATGTATTTACAGAGTGAACAATAACACAACATCCCCAGGGGTGGGGATTAATTTATGGAGGGCCCTAGGGGAAGCCCTTATCGGACTGGAATATTTAGATAAAATTAGAATAGGGTCCATTTTCGCTAGATATTTGAGAAACATAGACCAGATCTTTCCATGATACAGAGACAAAAATTTGGGTCTGATCGGTCAGGCCATTATGTGGAAAACACCCTAACAGGAAAATGAAATAAGTGACATGCATACCAAGTGAACCCTAGGCCTAACAGACCCCAATTAATATGTAGGGGCCTTAGAGAATTTAGTATTATATAAATTCAATGATGGTAATTAAAAATCAATGATACTGTGCCCATATCATTCTGGTCAGCACGTGATGGTACTGACAATTAACCAAGGTAATCATATATAACACTGACCACAAGGATTACTTTTATTGCCTTACTTTAAAGTTGTTATCTGATAGCGTATTAATTAAGCCGTGTTTACACTATGAGCCTAAGCCTGGCCTAGGCCTACCTTTGGACTAGATTTTTGTAGGGTAAACATACTTCGGCCTGGCCTAGGTCAGGAAATCTGGGCCTATCAGAACCGGTGTTCCAGATTTCCTGGATGACCTAGGCCAGACCAAAGTGTGTTTACACTACAAAAATGTAGTCCAAAGGTAGGCCCAGGCCAGGCTTAAGCTTGTAGTGTAAAGTATAAAACACAGCTTTAGTGACTGTCAACAAATACACTTTGGAATAAACTTGCAGTTGTTCTGGATTCAAAGCAGTATAGTACGACAAAGGGGGCAAGAGGGTGGGGCAGCTGCCTCTTCAATGTTTTTCAGAGCGTATTTTTAGATTTGTCCAATTCCTGTGAATGGAACGTATTAGGTTTACACATGTATTAAAAAAATATTTATTAAGACCAATGCAGGAAATGCCATTCCTCAGACCTAAAATATTTTTTTCTGGCAGAACCAATGCCCTTGGACCCTCCTAGAATTGTGATGCAGTGCCGTAGCCAGAACGATAATTGGGGGGGGGGCACATATTCATATATTCGTGTTCTTCTTTATTAATTTCTTTTGTAATCAATTGTTTTTATGGTATGTGAACACGAATATATGAATATGTGCCCCCCCCCCCAATTATCGTTCTGCCTATGGCACTGTTGTGATGTCACAAATTCTTAAGTTGTTGCCCCCTCCCCCCCAATAAAAATAAAGTCCTTGTGATGCCACTAGGGGTGCACCGGAACCAATTTTTTAAGTTCCGGCCGGAACCGGATCTGACCGGAACTGGAAAAAAGTTCTGGCCGGAACCAGAACAGGTAGACACTTCAAGCCATCAAAGAGAGAGCTCGCAAATGTTAGAATAAAAAGATTGACAAACATTAAACGTCACAATGAAGTGTTAATAGTGTACATTTCCCTTGGTAGTCCAAATTTCTTCCTGCTGTGCACTTTTGTTAGACACAAAAACGTTTGATATTTTATCTCTCTGAAAACGACAGAGTTCCGGTTCCGGCCATGCTTTTTTTATTAGTTCCGGCCGGAACTGGAACTCTGAAAAATAGGGTTTCCGGCCGGAACCGAGTTCCGGTGCACCCCTAGATGCCACTGATTCAAGGCTGTCTGCTCTAAAATAAAATAGTTTATTTAGTTCAGGACCTTTCTGAAAATCACTTTGTGAGAAAGCTTCCTGAAATTAAATATTAATTAAAAAAAAAAAAAAATGTGCAGCCTTGATCAGTTGTTTGTTTTTTTAGTGGTGGATCATGTTCAAATGTTGTTCTTCTTGATGGCAATGGTAAAGTTGTTGGCAGAAGTGAAGGGTTAGGAACAAATCATTGGGTAGGTAAAAACAAATTGAATACAGTGGATGTGGTTGAATGGCAAGATAATATTTAATGGTCAAATGGTATTACCACGTTCATTATAGGTACCAGGGAAATTGAGGGCTTGTTTAATAATGTTTACCAGGAGCAGGCCTGGAATTTCCCTAAAACGTCTCCATGGCAGTGACATCAATAAATATTACCATAGAGTGAAGCGGCTCTCTATAAAATTTTTTACCATTTCTACAGCTTTTTTTCATATAATATCAGATGTCATAATTATGCATTACATATGGTGACAGGTTGTTGTAGAAATTTACTTCTGTGTTTAGAGAGTTACACACAAACTGCAAAATCTGTTTTTGTGGAAAGTAACAACATGTAAAGAAAGAAAAATCATCATTAACATTTCATTCTGCCACGCGCGTCACGTCACCTTGGCAGAGAGTATAGTGATTAACACATTGAGCGCCAGTGCCTTCCCCTTGACAAGTCAAATTGTCTGCCGTTGCACAGAGTAAAATGCAATTTAATGGGTTAATTAACAGTCATTATTGGTTATGTAGGCCTTACCCTGACAAAAACCAAAATCAAGGTGCTATTCTCTGTGCACCTATACTGTATAATAAAAGTCAAATACACATGCATGTCTGCTTCATGGATTGTTATTACCTGTACATGCCTCACCTTGTAATAATAGTAACATTTAATTATCCACACCAAAAGCATACTTAACATGCATTTCCTTAAAACTATTTCTTGTTGTAAAAGGCGCTCGACGAAAGAAGCATGTTAAGCGCGCATGCTCGATCGAGTTCTTTTCCAGGCAGACCTGGGTATGCACTCGTCTGGTAAGACTGAATAAAATATACACTTACATCAATTTATGAATTTTTAAGAGAGCATTGTGCAGTATAGAATTTTTCCTTGATGTTTCTCAAAGCAAGATTCCTGTAAATCAATAACTATTTAAACGTTATAATATGAACGTGATAATTTATTTAGCCCCCAGCGTCTATTTAGTCCCCTCCTTCTAATAAGCCCCCAGTCCAGAACCACTGGAAAACTTAATCCCCCTCTACCAGGGGGCGAAATAGAAGAAATACGGTATATTGACAACCTAAATTGATGATTTCCCTTATTACGTTTTCGTAGCGCTTTGCATTGTGGTTATAGTGGTATCTCTGATATTCAAGATGGCTTATTTTTTGTCCTGACCCGTGCAAGAACTTTTAAAAAAGCTAGGGTCAGGTACACGATAGCCAACAGCAAAATATTCGCAAAAACATTCAATATTTTCATTTGAGGCCGCTATCTTTATCAGTGATACCACTATAACCACAATGCAAAGCGCTACGAAAACGTAATAAGGGGAATCATCAATTAACCATTTGCGTAATAGACTAAATTTTTATCTAAACATGTCTAGACAAAAATTTCATCACAGCTTGAAAGAGCATCACAAAATTAGTAATATTCCAAAGTTCGTTGCGAAATGTTGTAAAATGCGGAAAATATAGCCTTGTGAAGTTTGCAATTTTCAGTCATTTTAGATTACAAACGGGAATTGACAGCCTCAAATGGTTTGGGGCTGTCAATTTCCCGTTTGTAATCTAAAATGACTGAAAATTGCAAACTTCGTAAGGCTATATTCTCCGCATTTTACAACATTTCGCAACGAAACTTTGGAATATTACTAATTTTGTGATGCTCTTTCAAGTTGTGATGAAATTTTTTGTTGAGATCAAAATTTAGTCTATTACGCAAGTGGTCAATTGGAATTCCAAATATCGATCAAGATTGTCAGTCACTAAACATATTGGAAGTAATTGCTTAATCATATTTTATATAGTTGATTGGAGTCGAGAAGTGTGCAGAGAGGGTGAATGAAATGGTGGTGAAGGCTAAAGAAATAGCAGGCATTTCTGTTGATACACCTTTGATTTCATTGGTAATAACTTATTATATTGTATAGACTGCGAGCAGTCCCCCTTCGCAGACAATCAAGAAACGAAATACGCCCACTTTTCGCACCGCCCCTTAGCTCCAATATAATTATTTTGACGTTGGAAACAAGTAACTATTTATAGTGCGTATCGTACGTATTGTTTCAAAAGTAAAAATTCAAATTTACATACATTTGACGGTTCACTTTCAAATTTGAAAAACAATACATTTAAGTTAATTAACTTTTTAAAAAAAGATCTATCAATCAACTATATCAACCGGTCGGAATTTTGCGTTGTACGGACAACGCGTATTTCGTTGCTTGATGTGTTGTCTGCAGTCCCTCCTTTCCTTCTAAGGAGAGACTGCTCACAGTCTATAATATATTGTACACTGTTTTGTCAGTGACACTAGAGAAATTTTTGAAAATTCATAGAATGGAAATTGTATGAAGCTTTATTGGAAATAGAATGGATTTTTGATTATCCATAATAATTGTATATTTCCATACTATGTATATAGTATATTGAAATACTATGGATATACTATGGATTTAGTGGTGCAATTGCAAATCTCATAATATGGATTTCATATTGTTTGAATACTGTAATGCAGAAATTTAGTCCAATTAATAATATTATTATACATTGTACGTGGTAAAAGCAATTTGATTGGCTAAGAGCTTACAGTTAAATCGCGCAGTCACGCAACCTACACAAAATTCAGTTATCCGCTAGCAGATAACTCAGTTATCTGCTAGCAGATAACTGGATTGAGGTTGAATGAGTGTACATTTCAAATGAGTGTACATTTCAATTTTCAAATGAATGTACATTTCATAATTGTAATGTTTACTTTAACAAGCAAATATTTTAATACGTTAACATCTTAACGATAATATGTTTCTTCTATATTTGTAATTAATTTAACTGTTGGACTTTTTACTTGAACAGCTTTGCCAGAAATCATATTAAATATAACGCTTACCGAGACCTTAATAATTTTGCATATCGCAAAAACCGAATTCAATAAATGTTTTATTATACATTTGAAGAATAATAAACATAGTATTAAAATAGTATGTTTATTATTTTTCAAATGTATAATAAAACCATTAACAATTATTGAATTCGGTTTTTGCGATATGCAAAATTATCAAGGTCTCGGTAAGCGTTATCAGCCTCGCCTTCGGCTCGGCTGATAACGCTTACCTCGACATTGATAATTCCGCATATCACAAAAACCTCATCCAATTATAAATTAAATTATTTAGAACCAGTAGATCTACGTGCGTAATATGATATACAATAGAATGAACTTACCTCGCAAATTGATTGGCACTATAAATGTCAGTTTAAATTCACTCAACAATTTGTTATTGCTTGCTCACACGTCAAAAATTTATAGTTGAAAAATCGACAGAAATCAAGGTATAAATTGGGATTTGGGAGTAACTTTAAACAATTCAGTATGCGTTGTTGTGTTCAGCTTTAGACACTTCTAAATATGTAAAAATTAAAACATTTGGCAAAGTGAAAACATTTTAATTGAAAAATATTAAAAATCGATGCAAGAAGGTATAAACTATTAAAAGAAATTAGAAGAAGGAATAGCAAGACATAGGGACGAGATACAGTGGAACTAACTAAAGGAATAAGCAAGTGGAACAGAGGATAGATTATAAAATCCTATTAATGAGTGTTCGAAATGATAGATCAAAATGACACTTTGACAAATGTGACCATTTTAATGCAATGTTTGAAAGAAGCTTTGTACTGTAAGGTAAATAGGTAATGAAGGGCAAAATTGGACGAGTCGTACATAAATATACACATGAGAATGTTGGAAAAGCATTATTAACTATTAAGAACAACTGACCAAGGTCACGTGACTGCCAACTCTCATGCACTATCATCTTCGTTCGATCCGGGCTTCATTAATAATTCATAAGCTTATTGGCAAATCATGTCAACCATAATATGTCACGTGAAGAGGCATTATACCTGATAAAATTCACCTTCATTAGTATTCTTTATATAAAAGTCCATCCTAATCTTTATATAAAGAATACTAATGAGACGGCATCTATTGTAGTCGTGTTTGAAGCTATTCAAAATACTTGTAGACAAAGTAGTGTTTTTTTATCATATCTAAAATGCACGTGCTGCGCACTCGCATTTTAAATATGATACAACACTCCTACCTGTGTTTTAAATATCAAATACCCTTTCCAAAGGAGAGGTGCATGAATTTTCAGGGGAATGCAAAAAATGTCAGGGGAGGTGCAAAACGATCTCTGGGGAGGTGTGCGTACTTCGTCTCAAAATCCGGCCATGTCCTGAAGTCTTTAAGAATAGGCAGAAACATTTTTTGAAAGTCTTTGAATTATTTTGGTCTTTGAGACTACGAATCCAGTCATTAATGAGTTAAGCCCAACCAGGAACAGCTGTGAAAATAAACCTATAGGTCCCTGGCAGGAATCGAACCCGCGGCCCTGCGATTCCAGTGCAGCGCTCTTGATATTTACCCATTAATGAGTTACCATTTTTATAAGTTCATGTTTTAAATTAAGTGACTTCGGTCCCATGCACTGATCTGCAAACTATGTCTGGATAGTGCTTCCGCTATGCATAAATGAAGCCAATGGCGGCCATATTCGTATAACCACCACAAATCTACTGTGGTATTGCTGACATGTTAGAAAAGGTTCCAACAGTTTCTCCTTATTGTTGGGTAAGGACACGTATTGTCTAGATAGAAATTGGTCATCAGTGGCCTCTATTTTGTCTTAAAATTGCTGATGAACACCTAATGAGGTCACACCAATATGGCCACCTCGAGTTTCATTATCTATCGTTATACAGGAGGTACGGGAAGCTATATCTTTCAAGTTACACAGGCAAAGACATTTCCTTGAGAATTTTAATTTAAACATCTAACAATTCATTAGGTGAATAATTTGACAGATTTAAAAATCTCGTCTCATAAATCATATAAATATTCTGGCTTCAAAATTGGCGTATTGAATTCAAAAGGATGCTCTATCCAGTTCAGACCAGTGGTTCCACAGGTGCTGGTGCTAGAACCCCGTCCTGGACCCAGCTTGACCCTACCTCCTCAATATTGACATCATATCTCTGATATAGGGTCTAAGTCTGAGCGGTGGTGAACATCCAGAATTCAAGAAACAAATGTCAGATACAATGAAGAGTAAATATCCAAACTGCAGTAAAGTTTATCATACTTGTACAGACACATTTGGTTCGGTAGCAACCGCAGCAGAGTCAGGTTGGGGTAACGTCGTTTTATTTATCTATATGTAATGTTTGTCTCGTTTTATTTAAAATGTATGCCGATATGTCTATGAAATTGTTTTACGATTGTAGTATTACATTTCAGCCCTGACTGGGATAAAAACTCAGCCCGGAGAGAAGTCTCGAAGTAGAGCTATTTCGCTTCTTTCAATCATATAAGATTAGTGATTATGTCTAATATTTGACTAATAATGGTTGCATTAGAGACAGGACACACAGAAATAAGGCTAAGGCAAATGTTCCTCAAGATCCTGGATACCAAGATCCTATTTTTTTCCAGTTTTTTTTCAACCCGAGCTGAAATTTCCTGTCGATTACATGCAGGCGGTTTCCGGATACGATGTCATTGGATGAAATTCTTGAGCGAAAACAAAAGGAAAGTAATTTGCAATTCATCCAGTGCCATCATATCCGGAACTATATGATAGTGGAAAGTTTTGGGTTTGACCCTGACCCCGAAACACCCGTGGGTTAGTCAAACCGAAAAAGTTCATCATGCATGCATGGTAAGGTTTTTTACTATAAAAGTATATCACGTTCCTTCTTAGAATGACCCAAATATTACACATGCAAAAAATTATATTTTGGATTAGTCGCACTTTAACCATAGACATGAATTTAGTTGCAGATTTTTTGTATGTTAGGTAACACGCGCTCAAAACTAACGAGTATACTATGCCACTTGGTTACGGCTTCACTGGGCTTTTTTATTTTTAATCGGGAAACACACTGAAAAAGTATGTCTAGTGGTAGTTTAGTGCTTTATGTATAAAGTAATGTTAAGATGAAGAGATTTTAGATGGTACACCAAAGAGCAAATGATCTCTAAAATTCAGTACGATTTTCTAACTGACCGATTAGAAAACTAGGCGCCACCATTTTGCGTTATTGTATATTTTATACATTACCAGGCACATTTTTAGCAGAGACTACTATTTAAAGCAATATGTAAGAGATTAAGATTCAAAACAATCCATGCAAGCAAAATTATAGCCCTTTGAATTGAAATACAAAAATCACCAATACGAGGCTAAATCTAGCACAAACTCCGGTATATTTAAGATCTAGTATTTTCTCCCAAGAGAATATATATATATATCTGCGGGGTCCACTGCGGGGTCCACTGATAAATATTTTACCGAGGTCTCAGAAGCGGACCGATGGCCGAGGAACGCTTCTGTGGCCGAGGGAAAATATTTTTTTAGTACGGACCGACCTAAGCGGTAAATAACGTGTTTATTTTTTAGTGCAGAGTTTCTTTGAAACTGTGCACTATTGTGATGAGTGGCGAAAATTCACATCTGTCATACATCAGATATCATAGAGTAAACCTTCCGGGGGGTGTACACGATTTATCTTCGTGGTGATTTATTGTAATTAGTCGGTGCTTTGAAGGTTATTTAGGCAATTTCAGTTGTCTTATTTAAATACTTATTTTGTCCTTTTGCCAAGTTCACAAAAATTTCCAGGAATCGTTGTTGTTATTGTAATTTTTTGTCAATTTTATAACAATCGCTTCTCCGTGTTGTGTGAAGGATCTTTCCCCCGGAACACCCGGCTATTAGTAAAACATGGAGTACACGCGAGTACGGAGCAGTAGAAAAACGAAAATCCTTTATAATAAAATACACTGTTTACTATTACAAATTTTTGTTATTATTAATGAAGTTTTTTCGCGTTTTACACGTTGGGGAAGTAAGAAAATTGGGCTTTTAAAAAACACATATGCAAATTAACTGCCAAAAGCCATAGTTGTATTTAAAATAGGATTGTGAAATTATGTAGTTATGTTTATAATTTACTCTCTATATTATATTATAATATATTATATTATATTATATTATATTATATTATATTATATTATATTCCGATGGCCAACGCATAAAGAAACACTCCAGAGGAAACACTTAGACTGACAGCCGATATATTTCGTTACCCCTGCCAAAAAATAGCCAAGTATACTCATCTTTCAATGTAGCGGATCGACTGAACATTATGAAATCTTGTGATGAGAAAAATGAATTGTCGGTTTATCCTTCGGCTCAGTGACCAGTGGCAGTGTGCTGGCTGTGCTGTACGGCCTACGGCTACGTTTAAACCGTTATACAGTACATCATTACTGCTTTCATTCTTTCAATCCGTTTTGAATATTCGGAATCATTCACAATATATATTACTAAAACTGTAGATTGTAGGATAGCTGTAGACCTATAAATGCTGTAGAATAAAATAAAAAGGAAAACTAAGTTTTATCGCGGTGTTTGCCGATAAATCGGTAATCGCTACAGAAAAAAACCCAGAACAAATTACATAGCCTGCGAGCAGGCTCTCTGGGGAAAGAGAGCCTGCAAGGATCCCTTTGATGATTCGGTGCATGCGTCCAATATTTGGACGCAGTGCTCTGATTGGTTGATAACTGATTCATATGAAGTGATTGACAAGCTTCCATAA